TCGAATAACCTTCTGACTGGTGACTCGCCCCTCTGCGCGCCACATCAACGATGGAAGCAGCGCCTCCTCCGTCTCTTCTTCCGTGAACGGTGGGACATCATCATCTTCTTGCCGGACCATCCACGATAGTGATCTCAGTTGCTCCGGCCGCAGAGCCAGACGGAAGTTAGGCGGCTGAGGAGCTGCGATGTCTGTCTTGTTGTCTGTAAGCTTGAACTTGGGAAACATGACGTTTCTACTGTCGAACGAATTCGGGACCAGGCGCCAGTGAAACGACACGTCTTTGACAACACTATTTTGCACCAACTTATCATACGCCTGATGCAATAGGTACTGGACGTTGAGAGTGACGCGCAAGTCAGCTAGGCCCTGCTCATCGATCCTCCGGAAGATCAGGAACGGCGGGGGCCTTGCTTTCGCCTGGCGCTCATAGAGAGCTGCATCGTATGGATCTTCATATGCCATGACTCGTCCTCTATTGTCACGGCCCCATATTATGCGCGGTTTCAGCGGCACACATGTGCATGTCGAGTTACCGTCATCACCAGGGGTCTCAGTGGCAGAGACTGCGTTCCAGTCCTCAAAGCCTGAGATAACTGCCGCCTTCTGTAGGAGCCAAGAGAGGTCCTGAAGCAAGGATGGTGAGTCTATTGGGTTTATGATCTCCCACGATTCTTTCTTCCAAAGCACCTCCATGGCTGCTGGTTCTGCTTTAAATGAGAGCAAAGGAATATTAGCCTCATGACACCCTGATCGGGAAATCGTGATGTTGGTCGCCTCATTCAACCTTTGGCATGAGATAGGTGCGCTAGGGAGGTACAGGTTCAGGGCCACCTTGGGAGCTCTAATCCATTGCCGGAAGTAGATGTGAACGGGCTGTGGAACCTCGCTTGCTTTAATTGAACGCCATGAGTGGGACACCTCTGCGATGGTCTTTCTCTGTTCGTAACCGCGAACACGTTCATGGTCCCAGGCAAATACGAAAAAATCTTTGTTTGCATCCCCGAGCTTCGTCGGGTCCAGGAAGAGGAATACCGGGCGATCGTACTCACCACCTGATCTTTTGTGCAGTGAAGCGTGTGCCGTACCGCAGTCTGGCAGAAGATCATACGTCCCCCGGATGTCTGCTTCCAGGCCGGCCACCGCTGAATCGGGACCTTCGACTTGAATTTCCGTCCAACGATCTGTTCCAATAGCCTCTGCAGTATTAAGGCCACATTTAACTTCATGAGAATCGACTTTCTCGCCAGATCCGGAGAAATACAGCGTCCGTCTGGAGCTCAGAGGCCCACAGATTTCCCAATCTCCTTCCAAAAGTGACGCAGACACAGGTGTCATGCGAGCGATTGGCTTCGACAGGATCTCTCGTATCAGACAAAGTGCAGGAGTATCCTTTGGAGGTTTGGCAAACAAGTTCCATTCAATGCTGGACGCACTGATCAACAGACGCAAGAAAGTGTGTTTGCCTTCATAATGGATGGTCCAGGTCGCGCTCCGCTTGATAGTCAGGATCCGGAGTTCATCGCCAACAGCTGGCTCAATTATATCCAAAAAATCTTTCCAGACATACGCAGGACAATTCAACGACGTGTCGCGAGCCAAAGACTCATAGCAATCCGAAGAAATGCCAGAAATCACTAATCTAGCTGGCAAATCACGATTGAGTTCACTGACAAAGTCCAACGGCATGGTGCGGTGGAGATCATCATAGCGTTCGAAAGCATGTGAAGGGTTACCCCCACACTCGGAGCAGACCGTGTGGTGACATAAGGTGCATCTCAAGATACCCAGGCTTATGTTAGTCTGTCTCTCGCAGACGCAGTATCTTGCACTGCTTGCTGCCCGCATCTGGAGTTGCGAAATATCGGTGCGAGCAGCACAGGTGAGCTGTATGTCATGTGGTGTCATCAAATGACCGTCTTGAGGCAAGACACGGTGGTTCTTGCGAGATGATGCTTTTCCGATGGGTGCGCCTTGGCCTGGCTTTAGAATTCTATGTCCGTTGATCAATGCAGAAAGGATTGCTACACCGACGACCGTAGAGGTCATTGCATTTCCTGCAAGGTCTTGCAACTCACGCTGGGTTTCACGTGTTAGTAGAAGTCGGTCGAGAGGCAATCCTTGCAATGCCAACGACTCGAGACCACAGAGAGGGCCGCCTCTGGTCGAAATGTATGGGATACCGGATGGAGTGATGCACCCAACGATTCCTGGTGACCGTACATCTATCTCACGTTCGATCCCCTGTGAGAGTTCGATGTATCTCCTAATACAGGTCAGTTTCAATCAGCTGTTTAGAGAGGAGATTGCCACTGACTCTTTGAAGTGCATATCGTAACCTTCTGTCATCTTGCGCAGGAAGTTCATGTCCAAAGTCTCCCAAATGCGCTCTGGCAAGGACGCCATCCATTTTCTCCAACAGAAGTCGGGCATCTGACAACTGCCATCGTCCTGCGATTTACTTACTGGGCGTTTGTCACCGAGAGCGTTATCCAGACGGTAAGACAGATGGCGGGCCTGATACTTTTCCCAATTTACCGGTTTACGAGTCTGCTTTGCGCGTGCCGCCATATCGGTCTCGATTTGTTCGAGCCTCTTGTCATCTGCGTCAATAAGGAACATGCCCGCTGGAGAGCTAGCGGGGCGCCTGAATTCAGTCATGGTGCGTGACCAACGACCTATTTGATATCGTGAAAATTCATCTTTGTCCATGGCTTTCTTATCGACACAGAGCATGTATCCTCGCTCCCGTGTTTGTGGCAGATAGTATGCCTTTGTGTCAACGTCGAGGTGAGTGGCATGGTAGTCAATGTCCTGCCAGTATGTCTGGATCTTTTTCCATGGAGCGCTCTTGACATTCTCGAGTATGATCAAGGGAGGCCTATAGGCTTTGGCGTACCGGATAATGGCCCAAAAAGTCCCTCCCGACTCACCTTTATCATCAAGTGTTTTCCGTTTGTTATTCAGATTTGAGAAATCCACGCACGAAAATCCGGCAACCAAGATATCAGGATTCTTGGGAACCTTTTCCAAAGACCCATACGCAGTTTGGCTAGTGCGATCGAATTAGGCCTGAACAACAGAAAGTGAGGGCTCTACTTACGCTACACGACGATTGAGTTCCCTCACATCACGGAAGAGGCGAGGTGGACGAAAGTTTCGCTGGATGTACGCCTGTCTGAGAGGGTCGATCTCAGCACTGAAGATGTGACGGAATTCGAAAGTCATATTGAACTGCTCCTGCAGATCTACAGACAAATTAGTTTCGATATAGACGAGGCTAATGTCAGATCACTCACGCTTCTGAACCATTTCCAAAGCCAAAATAGGGGACTCAGTGCCGGAGCAGACCGTCGCAATGCGAAGGCGCCTTGAGCCCAAATGAGACAATACTCGGTTGAATCCCAGCTCCACTGCCTTTTCTGTGATCGACTTATAGATGTCGTTGAGGTCATGGAGGGGAGGGAGATGCAAAGCGAGCTGGGTCCGCGGAGATCGAGGACCAGACGGCAACTGGGACCTGACTACTTCAGGCAACATAAGATTAAGACCATTCTCGTCGTACTCGTCCTCGTTAGAAGGATAGACACGTTCGTCACGCTCAATCTCCATGATATCTGAATCATATTCGTCCGAAGAAAGAATAGCATCATCTTCGGGCATCTCCTGCGCCATCCGTTTCGAAGGACGCGTCGGAAGAGCCGACGACCAGGACAGGGTTCTCTTCAGAGAAGAAGACATTTGAAAGACTACAGAAAATCTTTATGAGAAGGTTCGAACAATAAAAACGAAGACTTAGAGCTTCAGAAGCACCTTAACGAATGCTGTGATGGAAGGTGAAGATAGGGTCAAGAAAGGTCACGTGGAGGAGATACAAGGTGAAAGATGAGATGGAGGAGAGATAGGTAGGAAAAGGACATAACACAAGAGAAACATGGCAGAGGAAATTTTGGGGGGAAAGGCCGTGTGTGGGCTTGTGAAAACTTTTCCTACTAGTGAATGGCTGTCGCCATGGTGTGCTGCTTGTTTGTGAATCTTCACGAGATGGTTTTTGTTGTAGGGGGGATTTGGAAAACAAGTGAACCCATGGCGAGACGTGCACGGCGAGGAACTATGGAGGGCTTGTATTGTGTTGTTTTTGAGAGTGGTTTGCTTGATATGGGAGTAGACGGAGTGATAGCAAGACTATCTAGATACAATATAAGCAGGCCTCTGCCTTGTCGTGCATTATGCTGTCTACTATAGATGTCTACTCATAGATGTGCCACTGGTGCATGGCAAACAGTAGACTATGGCTTCTCACCACCTCAGGACGTAGCTAGCTACACACTAATCAGACAGGAAAATGAACTACTAGTACACGGTATTTCAGTATCCAGCGTCCTAGACAGCTACCACCCAGCCTATTTAGCACATATACACGCAATTTGAATCCAAAGAGAAAAAAACATAACCAAATCAGTAAAATAGATTGGAAGGCAATGTTGACCATGTACATTGGAGACATCAAAGGCAAGAGGTTGTACTAAAGACTACTACCATTACTAGTCTGGGGAATACTAACTACCAACATCCTTGGGTTAAGTAATGACAAGGGAAGAGTGTGATACATACTAGATAAGATGATGGTATCGATGAGATAGTAGTAGGTACTGGGGAACTAGTATGTAGTAGTCTAGTTAGGAAACAAAACACATGTCTTCGGGTTCTTGATGAGTAGTTAGGGAAGTACTCACTTACTAATATAAGCTGGTATGAACATGTGTATGTTGATAGCAGTTATTTATATGGGGTGTAGAAATTTAGATTGCATGGTTTGCAGAAATCCATTTAGGAGGATCGTAACGAGTTTTGATGAGGATGTGGAGGAGATATTATGTGGTCTAGAGATAGGAATGCATTTCTTAGAATCTATGATGAGTAGCAAAGTGATACAATTTACGACGAGGATATAGAGAAGATACTTGAAATCTATGTGGCTTAGAATATAGTATTCATATTCCGGAATTTTCAATGGTAGAAAGTAATACGGGTTAAGACGAGGACATGGATAAAATACTAGAAGTTTACCATCAAACACTGCTGATCTGTCTGAAGCAAAACCAATTTGCTGGGATATCCGCTACAGCTGCTGCTATACTATCATGTACATTCCGGAACTTCGCGAGCAATGAAAAAGAGAGAGGAAAATCTCAGTCCGTGTCTCGCAACTTCAGTAGAAGAAAAAAAAGAACCCGCAATTTGAAACCCCACCAACATGCCCGTATTGCGCCAAAACTCACACCCGGTTCCGGTTGTTGATCAATCAGTCAATCAATGAAAGCCATGACGTTGCTAACATCAAGATGGAGAGATAATGAGGATTGTAGAACAAATTAAATTGTTCGTGCCGAGACATCCTGCATCAGAGGTGCTCCCTGATGCTGTTTTGCGCCCGATTCCTTTTCGTTCCTCATTTAGGGGATAAGAGGGAGAGGGAGGGGGTATAAGATAGATTCAGAGGGTAGAGAGGAGGTATTATCCAATCACCGCATAGCACCCTGCATCAACTGCTGCCGGAGGAGCATGATCTGGCTGCGCTCCATGGGTGGGAGCGCATCAATCGCAGCCTGCGGCATACTGAGGACTTGCTGTAGAAGCTCTTCCTGTCCTGGCATAGCCTGCGGGGGTTGTTGCGGCGGTGCAGCGGCAGCGAAAGGAGTGTTGACCATTGGAGGCGTAGACACCGGTCCTGGTACAGCGGAGAAGGGCTGGAAGGCTTGCGCAGCGGCAGGAGGGGGTGCAGGTGCGCTGGGTTGGCTCGCTTGTTCCACCACCGAGCCGAGGGCACCGTAATCGACCAGGTTCATGAGCAGCAAAGCTTGGAAAATTGCGTAGGCGAGCTGAGGGGCTTGGCGTAGCAGTTCTGTCGCTCTGGCGGGATCCGCCATAACAAGCGACTTCATCTGGGAAAGGACATCGAGGAGCTGGTTCGGGGGCAGGGAAGCGAGTGTTTGGGAGATGGCGTTGGGGCAATCGAGATGCGGGGGGACTTCGACACCCGGAGGCAGAGGAGGGAGAGGCGCGGACTGTTGCTGTTGTTGCTGTTGGGAGCCGTCTTGGACAGCGGGTGCAGAGAGCTGGGAGTAGTCGGGGGGTATGGAGTCCTTTTCATTGTTGTGTGGCCAGTCAACCCGAATCTTACGGCCCATAATCTCGTAGTCGTTCAGGTTGCGGACAGCGGAGGCGGCCGCATCGGCGTCGGCGAAGTCGGCGAAACCGTAACCTTTGGGTTTACCAGTTTCGGGGTTCATCATCAGACGGAATTTGGTAACTGTGCCGGCGGAGCTGAGGATGTCTTTGACTTGTTCTTCCGTGAGGTCTGGATAGTGATGGGTGAGTTTGATGCCATTGGGGTGATTGTGGGGGGCGCAAGTCAAAGGAAGGAGACATACTGTAGGGGATATTCCCCAGGAAGACACTCTTTCCGGCTCCGGGAGCCATGATGGTGGTTGAGGAGAAAAGAGGGGATGGTATAGATAGGTGTTTTGGTAGTTGAAGAGGAGGTGTTGGAGATATGGGGAAGATGCGCGAGGGAGAAGGTGGGAAATTCTCTGGAACCCGGAGAAACGAAGCTAACAAGAACTGAACAATGCCCTGGGAGGAACACCCGAGAGGCAATGGCAACAAGTTCTTTAAAGTAATGGGAGATGAATGAAAGATAAGTCCGTTAGAGCGAAGATGATGTCGAAAAGCGGCAGCATCTGCCAAGGCGGTGACGAATCGGGCGATTGATTTGCCGCGAATTCGAGCTTCCAAAGCGACGAAGCCAAAGTGACGCCGCTTACACCAATCCTCTTCCCCGTCTCTCCCTCACCTTCATCTCCCCCCATCATCATGTCCGGGAACCCCAGGGATCAGTTGCACAAGCTCCAAATGGCCCTCCAAAACCGCCGCGGCGGTTTTGGTGGCGGCTTCGGTGGTGGTAATCCTCGTGCCGGCATGGGCCTCGCTACTTTGTTCCTCACTGGTCTTGGAGTATATGCTGTTTCCAACTCGATGTTTAACGGTGAGCTAATCGTCGTGCATAACGGGTGGGAATGGTGCGTTTACTGACGGCTACTGCAGTTGATGGTGGTCACCGTGCGATCAAGTACTCCAGAGTAGGTGGTGTCAAGAAGGAAATCTACAGTGAAGGTACGCATATCCAATGTGCCGCATTCGGCTCCATCTAACAAGTTATCCTTTTAGGAACTCATCTTCGGATTCCCTGGGTCGAAACTCCTATTATCTACGATGTCCGCGCAAAGCCGCGCAATATTGCTTCCCTTACCGGTACCAAGGACTTGCAGATGGTGAACATCACCTGCCGTGTCCTGTCCAGACCCCGTGTCGATGCCCTCCCCCAAATATACCGTACCCTGGGACAGGACTTTGACGAGCGTGTGCTTCCGTCGATTGTGAACGAGGTCTTGAAGAGCGTGGTGGCACAATTCAACGCCAGTCAGCTGATCACTCAGCGTGAGAACGTTGCCCGCTTGGTCCGGGAGAACCTTGCTCGTCGGGCTGCTCGCTTCAACATTGCCTTGGACGATGTGTCGCTTACGGTATGCCAATACTACTATTGCTTCTTCTCTTACCCACGCTAACACCTGCCATAGCACTTGACTTTCTCCGCCGAATTCACCGCCGCCGTCGAAGCCAAGCAGGTTGCTCAGCAGGAAGCCCAGCGGGCCGCATTCCTGGTCGACAAGGCCCGCCAGGAGAAGCAAGCATTCATTGTGCGCGCTCAGGGTGAGGCTCGCTCAGCCGAGCTGATTGGTGACGCCATCAAGAAGAGCAAGAGTTACATCGAGCTGCGGAAGATCGAGAACGCCCGCCATATCGCCCAGATCCTGCAGGAGAACGGTGGCCGGAACAAGCTGTACCTGGACAGCCAGGGACTGGGCTTGAACGTCAACGCGGGCTCCGACGACACGAAATAAGCGGATGGATGGACCGATGGAGAGCAATGGGGACTTTGTTAATGGTGTAGCAAGACATGGCGCTATGAAGATCGTCCGACAGGACGACAGGTGAATGGAATCGGGTACTTGTACAAATAGTTATTCTCAGGTTCGAGCAACGGCGATCAGTTTCTCTTCTCTTCTACATAAGTCGTGTGGTTACAGTCAGTGTACGAAGCTATCGTGTAATATTGATGTTCAGTTGCAGCGGAGCTGCGGCGGGGACGAATGCGGCGGCGGAAATCTCTACCAGCGGAATCATCCACTACCAGTTCAACCCAGTAGAACACATCCTCTACTTGGGAATTTAACCCATATCAACCCTCTACTTTCCCATAATCAACTGATTGTAAGTCCTTCAAAAACACCCACACTACACCACCACAACCCAACCCAACCCAGCCCAATCCGATCTCTCCCCGCTCAAAATAAAATTAAAATTCTCCCCACCCCGCCGCCGCGCATATCCAATTCCTCCCCCACCATCCTCACAACAACCAACTAAACATCTCCTCCCCCAACACCAGAACTAAACAAAACCATAACCCACCAAAATGGCCGACACCGACCCCGTAATAACCTTCACCCAAGACCCCAACATGGCCCTAAACCTGGACCTAAACATCCAAGAAATCCTCCTCGCCGCATCCACCCACAACATCCCGCTCCTGCGCCGCCTCATCCGCGAGAACCAAACGTCCGGAAACCCCGCCAACGTCAAGGACCCGGAGACGGGGTTCTCGCCGCTGCACGCGGCCATTGCTGCGTGCGAGGAGGAGGAGAACAACGATGCCGAGAAGCAGACGAATGGCGTGGACACAAATGCCGATGGGGATAACGCAGGCGTCGTCGAAACAGTCAAGTTCCTGCTCGGCGAGGGCGCGATCTGGAATGATCTGGATTTGAATGATGAGACACCGGGATGTATTGCGAGACGGTTGGGGTTGATGGAGGTTTATGAGATGATTGTGGATGCGGGGGTTCGGGCGGAGTTGTTGTTGGGCAGGTTGGAGGAGGGGTGGGAGGCGTTGGGGGATGATGATGAAGATATGGACGAGGATGAAGAAGAACAGCAGGAGGAAGAGGGTGCTGAAGAAGCTTCTAATGCTGTTGAAGCTGAAGCTGAAGTTGAAACTGCTACCACCGAAGAACAACCAGCAGCAACAGAAGGCCCCTCCGTCACGCAACCGCGCTACCTCGACTCGAACCTAACCTTCACGAACGACCGACTTCTCGACAGCGACCAAAACGGTGTGATGATGTCGTGGGAATCCACCATCATGGAGAAGTCCGCGGCGAAGCTGCTCCCCACCCCGGGGCTGCGGGTCATGAACATTGGGCATGGAATGGGTATAGTCGATACGTTTTTGCAGTCGCATGGCCCCAGTGAGCACCATATTGTGGAGGCGCACCCGGAAGTGGTGGCGGAGATGAAGCGCAAGGGGTGGGATCAGAAGCCTGGAGTCCGGATCCATGAGGGCAGGTGGCAGGATGTGTTGCCTGCGTTGGTGGGCGAGGGAGTGGTGGTTGATGCGATCTACTATGATACGTTTGCCGAGTCGTATAGTGATTTCCGGGAGTTCTTTTCGGAGCAGGTGATTGGGATTTTGGAGCAGGATGGGGAGAATGGGAGTGGGCGTTGGGGGTTCTTTAATGGGATGGGGGCTGATAGGCAGATTAGTTATGATGTTTATCAGAAGGTGGTGGAGATGGATTTGTTTGAGGCTGGGTTCGATGTGGAGTGGGAGGAGTTGGAGGTGCCAGCGTTGGAGGGCGAGTGGGAGGGAGTCAGGAGGCCGTATTGGCGGATTGAGAAGTACCGGTTGCCTATCTGTAAGTTTATGGATTGAGGTGGATTGAAATTTGGTTGGTGCTGTTATAGTACTATATAGACATTGCTTGTGATGTATCTCCATCTATGGCATCTTGCTTGGGTAATCATGTACACACGCTCTCCTATAACCCTTGAGAATGGATCCCAACGCCTGTAAATGCAAATTCCTTATCCCATGAACCGAATAAAGCCAAAACTGCAAACCAGAACAAATAGTCATCAATCATACAGCCTACTGATACAGCCGAACGCCTTATAACTGGATGAGATCCACCTCGGAAAAGTCGGGCGGACTGCGGCTGAAGATCGTGTGGCATTTCCCATCCAGCGCCTGATACTCGTTACTGATCCAGATGTGCTTGCTAAACCGCTGTGTGCGGTACACCTCGTCATCACTGACCCCAAGGTCGTCGCGAGGGATCCAGATAACTGGTCGCTTGGCGCGCAATGCGTCGTGTTGAAAGGCCCGCTGAACAAGCTGATCACGTTCGTCGGGTGTCAAGTCCTCCAATTCATCGTGGATGCCGGAAAAGAGCGTGGTCCCAACGTTGCGCGAAGGAGGGCCTTGGGCCTCGGCGTCTTGTGCGATCCTGT